TTGCTGATATCTCGCTTTCTGTCTCTGTCTTTCTGGTGAGTGCACATGCCCTATTGCAAAAGCCTTTCCGAAAAAAAAAAAAGATCCAAGAAGGTTGGACCAGGAGCCCATAGGCTAAGGCAAAGGATCGAGGGCAGATATAGCTGAGGGAGAAGTCCACAGAGACTGGGTGTCTGGGGTGCTTCAGGCCAGGAGAGCTGCAGCCCCAACCTGCTGCTGTCCCCCAGCCCTGAGCCCGCCGTGTGACTGCCGGAAGGAGGAAGTCGCCAACCAGACGTCCACCACGGGCATCGTCATTGGAATCCATATCGGGGTCACCTGCATCATCTTTTGTGTCCTCTTCCTCCTGTTCGGACAGAGGGGCAGGTGGGTCTTGGGCCAGGAAGGGGCTGGGCTGGCTGGGGCCGTGGGCTTGGTCAGCCCGATTGCTGTGGGTGGGGGGGAGGGCCTGGGGCTTACCTCCTCTTGTCTCTGTTCTTGTTCTTGCTCCCTCCGTGGGCTCTTGCTCACCCCAGGGTCCTCCTGTGTAAGGGTGTGGAAATCCAGCTCTCGCCTCCCCAGGGCCCTCGCAGCCAGAGGGACCCTGGCATCCTGGCCCTGAACGGGGCGGGACGGGGAGAGCGGGGCCAGCCGGGCCGAGGCGAGCACCGTGTGGACGTGAAGGAGCTGGAGCAGCTGTTCCCCCAGGCCGGGGTGGCCAGGCAGCTGGACCCCCGCCCGCCGGTGAGTGCTGGCCGAGCGCCACCCCACCCATGCTGTCATCGCCTTCCTCCGCCTCCTGACACCTTGGCCGCAGGCTCGGTCACCCACTCTGAGTCTTTTCTGGATACAAAACTTGTGGCCAGTGCTTCTCTCTGCACCCCGTCAGACTGGGGCTGGGAGAGCCTGACCCCGGTGCACTGAGCTGAGGCAGCCCCCTGGCCCAGGGGCTGGTGGATCTGACTGTCCGTGACCGGTTCTTCCCCCAGCAGGGTCCTGCAGCCCCTGCCCCAAGAGAAGAGACCCAGCTGGCCCTGCTCCCGCTCCAGGGGTTCAGCCTTCTGGAGAGGCGGAGGTCAGAGGCCACCTCTCCAGCCCCGGATGTGAGTCCTGGCCTCAGCGAGGGACAGGCTCCGCAGCACTCCACCGCACCAGCCGCCCAGCCGGCTCGCTCGGGGCAGTAGCCGGTGTCCGACCGCTCTGGAGGTGGACAGCCCCGTTCTCAGGTCAAAGGCAGGACTGCTCTTGTCGCGTGGTTGTGTGGATTGGTGTGGTCCTGGGGGCTCCAGGCCTGACCTGACTGCTTCTCAGGTTGTCCAGACCTGAGCAGCCGGGCAGGGGCCCCCAGCCCCCGGGCTGACGCCCTACCACCTCTGCCTTGAACCCACACGACGTGGAACTGAACAAGCGCTAAAAAAAAAAAAAAAAAAAAAAGACTTAAAATCAAAAAGAGAGAGAGAGAAGGTGAATTTGACTCCAAAAACAGGCCCTGCTGTTGCTGGGCTGTCCCTGCCCTCGCCCGCGTTTCTCAGGGTGGACCGTGCTGGCCGGCTTCCAGCACCTACCTCAGCCGGAATGAATGTCCTTGGGGGTGGCGGGAGCCCAGCCCTGCCCCCCAGAGCCCGAACGCACTCCTACCTCAAGCCCCCTTTACGGGCACCCTCCTTCCCCGCATTGTTGTCCAGAGTTAAAAAAAAAAATAGAAAAAGAAAAAAAAGAAGTACTCCCATTTCCAGGTGTGAAAGAAAACCGTCTACCTCAAGGCCACGCCCTGGCCTGCCCGTCACTGGAGCCCTCCCGGCCTCTCCCATAGCCCTGGAGGCCAAGTCACCAAGGGGCCTCTTGGCTTGCAGAAATAGAGGTGGGATTGGTCAGAGAGAAAATGTGAAAAAAGCCAAAAATGAGAGGAAATTGGTTCCTCCTAGTGAACATGTTCCAAACTAGCCGCTCCCAGCACGCTGCCTGGGTCTGTCCCGTCTGGCCATCTGTCTTAGCCGCCTTGGCCAGCCTGTACTCCAGGGGGGTCCCATGACCCTCTTGGCCTAGGCCCAGGGAAGGGACAGGACATCACCTTGCAGCCCGTCCCCCGCCCTGCCAGACGCAGAGCCCAAGCAGGCCTGGGCCCTGGAATGTAGCAGGCATGTGACATGTGATGGGCGTGGGAGGACTGGGGTGCCTCCAGCAGGGATGGGATGCCCCAGCCCTCTGTCTCGGGGGCCCGTCCCCGCCCACCCCTGGACAGTGGCTGATCACCCTCAGTAGAAGCAGCCGGAAGCTATTTTTATACAAGGTATGTTTAGGGGTCATGTCCTTGTGACTTTTTGTTTCTCTTTTCTGTTGTGTTGTTTTGGAACTACTTAGTTAAAGAAAAAAAAAAAAAAGGAAGCAAATACCTATTTTTGGTTATATTCAGAAGCATTTTTTAAATAGCAGAAGGAAAACATTTTTTTTAAAGAAAAAAAAAAAAAGAAGAGTGTATTCCTTAAGAATGAGATTAGAGTGTAAAGCCCTCTAGGGACATCCCACCCCGAACTTTAGTGAATTAGCTGAAGAAGGTAGAATTTGTGGCGTTTTCCTAGGAAACTAGAGTTGTGTCCGTGTGGACTCGGGGAAAGGCCGTCCCTCCACTTCTCCCAAAGGCTGGGCAGCCCAAGACTCTGCCAAGCTCAGAGGCAGTGTCCCCACAGTCTGCAGTGGCTTCTCCAGAGTTTCCTTCTCCCCGGGGGAGGGGCACTGGGGGCCACTTACCCTGGCTTGGGTTTGTCACACTCTGACTGAATAAAAGTTCTGTTGCCAAAGTGAACCTGATGTTTCTTGGTGGCTCTGTCAGGGCCGAGGGGAGGGGTGGGCGTGCTGGGCACCTGGCACCCAGGGCCGATCATACACCCATATGCAGGCACCGTGCCTCACCCTCCCTGTGAGGTAGACATGCCAGTGACCATCATCTTTCATTTTAGGTTTTTGCCATAGATTTTTGCACGTGTACTTGCATGAGAGACACAGAGAGGGAAAGTGAGGAAGCATCCCCCTCCCAAGGGAGACAGCAAAGCTGCAGTCCCTTCTCCGGTCTCCTGTCAGGATTTTGGGCTTGCATGTGTATGTGTCTGGTGTGTCTTTCAAACCGCCTGGTCTGGGACTCGAGACTCGAACCATGCAGTTTGCCATATGGGATCCAGTGCCTTACCCACCACACCACTTGCTGGCCCCCATCATCTCTGTGTTAGATGATAGAACCAGAGAAGAGAAGGAGATGCCCAGAGTCTCACCAACCAGTGAGCACAGAATCAATTTGATCTAGGCTGGGCTGCCTGGCTCCGGGGTCCACTCCCACCATCTCCGCACCTCCTGGGCTGTAGTGAGGAGTCCCAGACCAGTGCCGAGGCGCGTTTCGCCAACGCGGAGTCCTGCACAGGGGCTGGCTGGTCAGGGCTGAGAGCTCTTCCG